GGACTGCCACTGTTAGGTAGAGTTGACGCATTAGTTTGGTTGGGATTCCCATGGTGGTTCTCGAGAGTCGTCGGATCTGTAGGACATATTCAGTTCCTTTCGCTATCGCATACGCTGCATGTTCTTTCCAGGTGAGTTCTTGATCCACAATGATTCCTAGGAAGCGGGTATGGTGCGCTGGTTGGATCGTAACTCCGTTGAGGATGATGGGACTTCGTTCCTTCGTTTTGCTGCGCGTGAAGTCCATGAGTGCAAACTTCGTTGTTTCGAACTTGGAGTTATGTTCTCTTGACCACTGATAGCCTCCATTTTCTCGTTCAAGCATGTCTCGCAGGATTTCATGCGTCTCCTCGAATGTTTCGGCTGTGGCGATGTAAGCTGTGTCGTCCACAAAGGCTAGTGCAATTTCTTCCCTTCGGTTACCTATTCGTCCTCGTGCTACTTCAACTAGGTCGGAGTTGTATATTAAGTAGCATATCATCGATAGCGGGTCGCCCTGGCCTATCCCGTTTGTTACTGGAAACCATTCTGATGTGAAGTCGTCAAATCGTAATTGGGTCCGTCGTCCTGTGAGCATTCGTTCTGTGAATGAGATGAGTTCCATTGGTAGTTGTCGACGTCGCATGTTGTGAATAAGGCGGCTGGTGACTGCATTCGGGAATGCTCCTTCGATATCTAGGAATAGTACTGATGCTACTCGTTTCGTTCGCCATGCATCCTTGATTGTTGCCTCGAGTAGGTGTACTGAGTCGGTAGTTGAACGTCCTGGTCGTCCTCCGAAATGGTTTGCTGGCAAAAGTTGGTGCTTTTCGAGGATGTTGGTGACTTGTTGGGTAACTATGGCTGTCAGTAGCTTACACATGGTGTTGATCAATGCTATGGGACGGTATGCTTTGGGTACGCTATAGTCGGCTTTGCCTGGTTTTCGTAGTACTATGGTTGTGAAGTCGCGCCATGGTTCATAGTACGTTTGGAGCGTGAAAACTGCGTCGAAGATTCGCATTAAGTATGGTACGAGTGTGTTGGCATTTCGTTTGAAGACTATGTTGCAGATCCCGTCTGGTCCTGGGGCTTTGAATGGGCTTGTGTTCTTGATTGCTCGTTCGACGTGTTCTTCCGTGATGCGTTCGAATGGAGTGATGGGTTCTGGGTACTCGAATTCCTCTGGAATGAAGTTGTCCGCCGGAGGTGGGGGGAAGAATGTCTTGGCTAGGAGCGTGCTCTTCTCATCGTTAGATATGGCCTCCATGGTTGTGCCGTCTGCGTTCTTGGATTGTAGGACTGGTATTCGAGTTTTTCCGCCGTCGGTGCTGGGGGTGGTGACGTATTTGTTTGCTATCCAGAGTTCGCGTTGAGTGGTTTCTTCGAGAAATTGAGTCCAGTGTTCTTTCTTGGCCTTGTAGATAGCTTCTGAGACTTGGTTTCTGAATTTGCGGTGTTCCTCATGTGATGGGTGATTTGGTAGCGCTCTGAATTTATAGGATAGGTCACTTAGCTCGTGTTTGCGGTCTAGCATTTGGGACAGTTCCTTGGACCACCACCGCTTTGCATGAGGATTCGGTTTGGATTTCGGTACGGTTTCGTCAACTACGTCTTGAAGGACTTTTGCGAGGCGTTTTGCTGCGAGTTGGAATTCTTCAAGGTCAACTAGCAGTCTTGGCTCTGGTATTGTTGTCAGTTGTTCCTTGAGTCGCGAGTTGAATTTCTCCCAGTCCACATCTCGATAGTTGTAGTTGGTTGTCATCGTAACTTGAGGGATATCCAGGTCGAGTGTACTGAGGATGGGGATGTGGTCCGTTTTGGGGGGGCGTAGTCTTGGGGCTGTGTCGCATATTGTGAAGGCTTCAAGGGTGTGTTCGGTGCAGAAGACGTTGTCCGGTCGGGTCCAGTTGCCTGTGCGAGTTGATTGCAGTGTCGGTTTGTCCTTGACAAGGGCTTGGCACATTCCGTAGTCCGCCATGAGTTCAATCCAGGCCTGTTGGTCGTATCTTATGAGGATTGTGTAAGGCATCAATGGCGATGTTCACTATTGCGTTGGCGCCTGCTGCAGTGCTTCTATCGGTAACTTCATCCACAAATAATTGAATATCCATTATTTCGCAACTGACTCGAAGATGTTCTATGTTGCAAGAATAAAGTCAGGGCCCCGGGGGTGTGCGCCAGGGGTTGAGTACGGACCTCTTGACACAGTGGGATGAGTCAGCGCTACTAGGTAAGCTACAAGAACAATGTACGTCAACGATCTTCAGGGGCAAGTTAACATAACTCGAACCTGCACCACACTTGTCAAATTCTTCCAATATCTCAGGATCCAGAGCTTTGAAACTATGAAACCAAGCATCAGCCTCAATTTTCACAGCTTCGAAATGAGGGTTGATTGCACGAGGCCATGGCCAGTTGGTCATGGTGTCCGGGAGGTAAATCATCTTTGGGCGAGTTTCCATGATATCCTATTTTTGATGATAAGCGATAGAACCTATGAATTGTAGAAGGGGGCTAAGGATAAATGGCGTGCAGCGTCCCTTTTATACAAAATGTGAGAACAGAAATTTATGGAATAGTCTTTGTTGGTGGATCCACATCAGTGGGTTGGATTGTGCTACAGAATGCTACGGAGCGCTCTGTAACGCTCTGTAGCAAATTACGTTTTCCTGATGCCCATGGCATACTACCAGTAATCGGCAATCGGCTACGGCTCAAGGCGGCAGACTGCAGGCCGTAGACATGGCGCTAGAGCTTGCTGGAGTGTAGCGAGCGCCCTAGGGGTTACCCTTTCGAAATACTTCGGCTCTACAAAGCTCCTGAAGCGGTGCAATGTGTGCCGTTGTGACCTGTTACCACTCCAAATTTGTTTAGCTCCTACAGCAAGGTACAACTGAGCATTAGCTCAATCAATGCAGCAGAGGTGAAGACCTCATTCACCGAAGTTAACGGAACCCTGTTATCATTCGGATCTTTTTCGGTTCCTTCGAACGACTTCAAACCCGGTTTCCTTTTTTTTGGGGGGACAAGCAGGTCTATTATGGAGTAACCGAGACTGTCTAGCCCTATATAACAAAACGCTTATCGAAGGAATACCGGTCCGAGGGAAAATGCTCTTACGCTAAAACTGATGTCTTTCTATTTGAAGAAATGCACTAGTATTATCACGCTACATCATCAGAGGTGCTCTGTTGGGCAGTTTTCTGCTTGTTCATCTGGTGGGTCCAATATAGATTAGCACAGAACTCTGGCAACAACAACGGGGACCATGACCACTTACGACAACATAGAGCGCAGAAGACATGATAATGACGGCGCCAACAATTGACAGTAAGGACGGCATAACTCCGAAGATTAGGCGTTCCAGCATCACAGCGAAAATGACCTGGGTGTACATTCCAGTGACACCACGCGACACTGTTTCTCGTTGCAGTCCCATTGTCAAAAGAGTCTGGAATAGTAATGGATAACTACTATGCAGATGCAGGATCACTAGCACTCACCTGCGTCACGAAGCCAAAGACACCAACCATGAATAAAAGCATCCACCCCCATGGTGTGGGATACACAACCGGGATATTTAAAACAATCATCCTGTTGGAAAGTAGTATTAAATCGGCACGTGAAATGCAGGGATGTATTTGCGAACCCCAATGATGATATGATCGTACATCACAGCGAAAAGAATGTCAGTACATGCATCGGGTGGGCGCGTTTTCCAATTGCACGAATCGATGTATCTGGAAAAAATTATTGATATGTCTGACATGAGATTGCATGCATACATGCACCAGTATTGCCGAGCACACTCATCATACATGCGCTACCGAAATATAATTGTGAATTTAGTGGAGCAGCGTGCAAATGGTGGTACTCACCCAACAGCTGCCAGCCTTTCTGCTGGAGTTCCTTCTGGCAAGTGACCTCCGTTAGGGATGGAGCCGAATAGAAATGGGGGCCTTGTAACGAGAATCACACCGAGTAAACTGCACGCTAGGAACGCCTCTATAAGAAGTCATAGACAACAGAAGTCAGAGAATAACTCTCACCTCCAGCGACAGCTTGATTGGTGGAATAGCTCTCCTTCAGGAGGATGGATCCAGCGACTGCTGTCGTAAGAGGTGTCAAAAAAATCAGGACTGTCGCATCTGCGACAGATAAATGCTCAAGTGACAAGTACACGCCGAATAGTCCGAAAAACCTTAGTCAAGAAAAAGATATCGGAAAATTGAAGGTTGTGCGCGTAGAATCAGTACGCACCCAGTAATGCCACGAGTGATCAGTAATGATCGAACGTCTTTGGGGCCAGTTATCGGATCAGGGATCCTCATAATAATCCTTTGTATCATCAGCTGTAGGTTGTTGTCTGCGAAAGCAACCAACAGACATGTATGTCACGCAACATAGGAATGTGACGGCCTAGGACAAATCGATATTCAACTCGAACCTGGGAACTATTTCGGACATACCATCCTGATTATAATAACCTGTGATCCCGTTCACTCCATTCGACGACCAGAGGTAAGGAAACAGCTGACCTGAAGCGCATGTACTGGAGTCTCCAATCTGTTTAGTATCTTCACAGAAATATACATGCATGCGGAGAAAAACTGTGCGGATATGATGAATAGCATCCCAACATTGCTGGCGATGATGTCTGGGACACTGGGTTGACTGTAGTTCACTATTGCTCCGTCATCGCGTTCAAGTTGGTTTAAGGAAGTTGTGTTGTCAATGAGATGAGACTCGTCAGACTCGCTATCGCTCATCTTCGAGATTCGTGGGGTCGCTCGCTACTAATCAGCGTGGGTATGGTTCCCTTTACATATGTAGCGAAATGAATGTGAAGTACAGTAAAGGTACATTCGGCGGCCCTAATTGCGTCACGTGCAGTCGGAGCGAAGGTCAATTAATGTAGCCCTGCAGCTGCAGTGGGCAGGGATTCACGAATTTTATGCTGCAGTGAGTAAGTATAAATTGAAGTAATTGCAATCGTAAGCAATACTAGGTATGCAATCCTAGCGAGGTGTGTCAACACGCTCTAAGCGCCATCGCGGAGGCGTCCTGAGTCTGCCATGAGAACAACACGAAGAATAGTAGAGGAGAGCCTTAAGCCAGTGAATATCTGGGAGACAATCGATGTCAGACGAATCAGACGAGGGATCATCCTGCGGTCCGGTAGTCTGCTGTCTAGAGGGGTGCCGAGTGTCATCGACTTTCCTGTATTCTGGTAATTTGGCAGTAGCAAGACGCTATTGGACGCGCATGAGAAACAAGGCAACGAGAAATAGGAAAGGTTGTGTTACAGTAAATTTCCGCCCAGGTGCGACTTCAATGACTGGTAGCTCATGTTGGGGTCCGGACCTACGGAAAGAAAGGCCCTGACGCAGGAACTGCATGATTCCGTTGGAGTGGCGGGGTGGAGAGCTTGTTTCAAACTGGATATGGACTCAGTCATGTATTGTGAATATACTGAAACTGGAGACTGATATGATCAAGCTGAGTTGCGGCCTGCTGCAAGGCCGGGCGGTTGGGAGGCAAGGGCAACGTAGCAGAGAACTGTGAGAACGATCGAGTCAACTCTAACAGAAACGAGTTGAAAGAGACATACCTCCCATAGATCGCGAGGCTGTACAAGAGGAACTGAATTCACGCGAGAAGTAGAGTGGAAGAGTTCGCGGACATGGCGAAAGAAAATGGGCTGTTGATGGCCTATTGTGGGCGAATGGATTTGATGCCTGGGGGAAGAAGATATAATGACAGATCGTTTTGCTGGGGTTCTGCGCACGGCGGTGGGACGACGGGCTGTGTCAGACTGTAATGATTGGTGTGAATCGGCACAATTGTGACAACGTGGCATCGTCCTTCAAGAGAAGGTTAGCCTAGAGAAGATGGTTTCATGCAGGTGGGGCAGATTGTACTCCCGGGATAGCAAGCAGAGCGGGAGCGGCGTTACATATATATATATATATGTCATGATCACTGAATCTCATGTAAGCTACTTGACGTGAGTCGGGTGAGGATGAGGGTTTTGACATAAAGAACGTCGAGGGAAGCAAGGAGCTGTCGGGGCTCAAACGCCCAAAGCTTGATGGTGCTGTCCAAGGAAGCACTAGCGTGACGCCGTCAAATAAAAGTGCTAGACCGAGGACAGTCTTGGTGTGCCCTTCGAATGGAATTCCGACAGTCTTCAGCGTCGACGCGTCGAATTCATAGATCATCTTGCATTCATAATAGAACTCCGAGTCCAAGTCCGAGTCAGAGTCCGAGTTCGAGTAGGTTTCGTCATCCATGGTGCATTAGCAAAACCCTAACCCTATGTGCAGCACTGCACGCTGCACAGCAATCACAGTGTCACAGCGAGGTCCCCCCATGTACAGCGCTGTACAGTGCTGCACACTACACAATTTCTCAATAAAACATAATTATTAGCACACCATCTTGTTATATACATGTTTATGACTACATCACACTCATTTTTACATAGAATCAATACTTGTGTGGTGCTGCAGAGCCTTTACAACAAAATCTATGTGACCTGTGACACGCTGTGTGGCTGTGGCGCTGTACCCAAATCAGGGTTTTGCTGATGTGAAGTTAAATGCGGCTATGATATTTTGGTTCTTGTTGTCCAGAACATTGGCGCATATGCAATAAATCCTCGACGAACATATTCCCCCACTCCACTCTGACATCCAATTTCTGTAATTGAATATCCCAGACCTCAAGGAACATCGCTAGCCTTGACTTGACTACGAGCTTCTTCGAGTTCGGGGAGAATCGAATTGCGCTTACGGAACAAACGCTCTTGAATGGACCAGCCACGAGTTTGCCAGTGTCCAGGTTCCATATCTGTGATATCCATAATGTGACCCGCTCACAAGTAGCTTGTTGTCTGCGGAGATGTCAATACAGGTGATACTCGATGAACCACCATGAAATCCTTTCACGATTCCTGTTTCAACCTCGCAGGCTTCCAGCTCAGTTGTACAATCGTAAATTCCACCACCAGTGACAACTCATCGACCATCCCTTGATACCGCCACCACCCATATTTTCTCCTTGCGAACATCTCGCGCTTCCTCAATCTCCTTACCCGACTGCAAGTCCTATCGCCGAGTGGTCTTTTCACCAGCACTGAACATTCGCTGGCCTCGGGACAGTAGGCTATGGATGTTATTTTCATACTCTCATCGTCATCTGGTGTGGTGCCCTCATCATCCTCCGACGTCTCTATCGGTAAACCCTGCCAGACGAGATGAAAGCTAACGCGAATCGTTAGCTTTCCTCTCGTCTGCTATATGGATCAATACAATATACTACGCCGATCGGGTCGCGGAACTACAAAATGCTACTCTGGATGGCCTTCGCCAGTTCATCGCTCCACACCCATATTGACTTCTACAGCGAATGATTCCGTCGATGTGGAAACCATGGTCATATTCGCGATCGAAATCACAGTTCAAGCAGCCAACAACGATATTCTTTGGATATGTTAAAAGGAGCTGTGACGCGCTGTCCTCGTGCCCTGAAGTAATTCTGGTGTTGATGATGACAGCACTTTCCCTACTGAAGCTGATGGTCAGTTCACCTGCGCTGGCAGTTCAAATGAGCTTTCAAAGGCGCTTGCAGAGATAAAGGGCGAGGAGTTCTTGAATCTGGACATGGCAATCTTCTTTGCATATATCCTAACGCGCTCCCACATGGCAGTGCCAGTCGTGTATGTCGTCAATGTAACTGATCGCAATTCAACTTTCCTTTTCCTTGCGTTTCATAGTTATTGCCGAAGTTCCTGTGTTAGAGCATAAATTCCATCAAGTCAGTTCCTCAAATTGTGTACGTGAAACAGGCACTGGAATCATAAGAGCAGCTATATTCCACAGGCAACGTTCGTTTCAAGATCTGATGACAGGATCCACTCTGGTTGTAGCAGCTCCTTTGAGCATGATACTTATATATTCAAATATTCTATTTCTGTTGATACGGGGATCGTGGCTCTGAATATTCAAGTTGATAGTTAGCATGCGCTGCGTAGCATCTATAGTCTGAATAGATCATCACCAAGTATTGGGTGCCACGTCACTGAGTTCCCTCCTTGCCTGGTATCCTAACTCAATGACAGGAAATACACTGCGAAATGGTTAATTTATGATCAACCCGGATTCTAATTCGGCAGTCAAGTTGCTAGCGGAACCGAGTGCATATGCATCGTTTGCGATGGGTTGTTTTCCGATGTTTATCCTGACCTTCTGGATTCAACAATTATAAACAACCACTCCGGAACAGTTCCTAATGAACGAACACCGGATTTCCCAAGGCTTGCTGGCCAGTTGCGCATTGCTCTCTGCAGGCAGGTCAATTTACCAATTACACTACAAATGAATGGCGTTCGCAAACTTTGGGGAGGCGGAAGCTCGTCTACCAGTTCACCAATAGCACAAACACCTGGACCAGCAACGCCTGTAACACCTATATCGCCCGCACCATCAACCACGCCTTCTTTCGAAAGTTCTCCTCTCACGACAACCCCGGGACTTTTCATCAAGAAAAATAAGAAACAGTCATCCGTGGCAACTATCTCGGACGCTGGGAACGGTAACGACATCAACGGCTCTGACCGCTCGGCATCACCTGCTTCATCCCGAGTCACTTCTCCCTTACGAAAACCAGTTCCAACCCCAACTCCAACCCCGGTCCCAGGTCCCTCATCTCCAAGAATTTTACCCCCACTCAAACCACGAACGTCTACAGCTTCAGAATGGAAACGCACCTCGGGATTACTCAATATAAGAGACGACCTCCTCATGAGTCTTCTCACAAGCGAAGCAGTCGTAGAAAGCCGCGAATGCGAGATCTTGAGCGGAGAAGAAGTGGAAGAACTCAAAAAGGTTCGATTTTCATTCGATTTGCGCCTTTATATTTAATTTTAATAAACCGTTCCTTTAGGAACACCAAATTCTTAAGATTCGACTCGCTGCAGCACAGAGGAAGCTCAAGTTAGAAACAAAGATCCGCGATGCAGCTCTATCTCTTTCAAAAGTAAACACCGCGCACAAGAAAGTTTCGAAAGCCACAGACGACCAGCTAGATGCTGCAGAACGCAGAGTCAACGCTGCACAGTCGGAACTTTGGCGCGTTTCAGAGCGAGCAAGTGAAGTCGAACGAAAGCTTTTGGAACATCGTGCAGGCGTGCTCGGTTTCTCTGTCTCCAAGATGGAGAGAAAGATGACGCCTAGCGGGGATGCATCAGGCTTGAACACGCCCAATAAGAGTTCGGCCTTCAGCCCCATTACGACCACCTCTCCGTCACCGAAAGCACGATTCGACGGTGCACACCTATTTGCAGGCCACGCCGACGCACAAATTCCCAGAGCCCCACCATCCGTCGATGACGTCGTCGCGCTCGAAAGCAAGCTCCGCGCTGCCACCGAAGCCCTCAGCATCGCGAACCAGAAACAAGCTGAGATGGCGCGCGAATTATCTCACCTCCGTCTCGAGAAAGAACAGATTGAAACGACGATGGGTATGGAACTTCAGACTGCTGAAGAGACTGTTGCTGCGCTGGAGCAAGAGTTTCCGCGTCTCGAGGAGCTGAATATGAAATGCCAGGAACTACTCGAGGAACGTGCGCAATGGGAAAAAGACAAGACTCTGTTGGCTGCAAGGGAGAAGGAGGTGGAGAGGCTGGAGAGGCGGTTAGAGGTTTTGGAAGAACAGAGTGGCGAAGCGACTGAAATGGAACGCGCACTCTCGGACGTACAGGCAAAGTGCGATGCGGAACTGCAGACAAAGAACGAGGAGATCGCAGCGCTGAAGAAAGAGTGGGAGGACGCAAAAGAGGAATGGGAGGCGGAGAAAGCTGTGATGGAGGAAGATAAACTTGCAGAGCTTGGTGCGCTACAGGATGAGCTTGAGGATGCGAGAGAGGAATGGGAGGCGGAGAGAACTGTGATGGAGGAGAACAATTCCACAGAGCTTGGTGCACTGCAGGATGAGCTGAATGGTGCGAGGGTTGGTGGCGAAGCACGAGCAGAATTGGATGAGAGTATCGAGACACTTCGAACAGTCATGCAGCTGCATGGAATCCAGGTTTCCCCCGATACGTCCTTGCAGGGTCTCCTTGCTTCAGTCGCTTCACACCTTGAAACGTTGTCGGCTGCGCTGCAGGGGCATAGTGATAGGCATGCGCACCTTGGAGATGAGCTGCAAGTGCACATGGAGAAGAACGAAACTCTCTCAAAGGACCTGAATGCCGTTCGCCTAGAAAGGGACAACGCACAACTTGAAGTCCAATCCCTGGAGTCACGAGTCAAGGTAACATGAACATGCCATTATTTTGCAGCATGAACAGCGCTCATCTTAATCCCAGGAACTCATCGATGCCTCGTCAACACCTACCGACCCCCCAGTCCAATATACAGGCGAAGCAGCAGATATCATCGCCATTCTCCAACCCATCTGGAATATCCTCCCCGCGCCCGAACTCCGCGCCCTGAAACTTAACAGCAAACGACACCTCCGGAACCCTTCCATGGTCTCGAATCTAGGCAGATCATCACCATCACCATCCAAATCCACCCTTTCTGACATGGACGTACGCACGCTCAAATCTCTCTATGACGTCCGCTCGCAACCTCCTCCTACTCCTACTTCAGCAACTAGTCCCCCACCCCCAGACCAAAGAAAAGGCACATTCAGCGTTGAAGCATTCGTCTCGCGCGTTCAAGCGCTTATCATTGACGACCGAGCGCTGATCGAAAGACTGATACGGTTCGCCCAAGCACACGATCTACTCAAGAAAAACGCAGAACGCGCTCAAAAACTTGCACAAGATAGTAATACAGCCCTCGAGACGTATCAGCGGCAGGTATCGACGCTTGAGCGGCAGAATGCTTCTTTGGTGTCGAAGCAGAATGCATTGTGAGTCTTTGTTCGCTTATTTGAGTCGAGTGAATTTTTGAACGGTTTTGTTTGGGTAGGATGGACGAAATACGTGACCTACAAGACGCTATCGAACGTGCGGTCTGTGAGTCCCGTGAGATGGAGATGCACGCTGCAAATCAAGCAGAGACGTGTCGACAGCTCACAGAGGCTAATAGCTCGCTGAGCGCCAAGACACTTAGGCTCGCTGAAGAAGCCGCTGTAGCGCCTGAGAAGGTACGCAAGCAACTTGAAGGTCAACTTGCGGAGTGCACAGAGGCTTTGAGGAAGGCGAGAGAAGAGGTAGATGCGATGAGGATGTCGGAGCAGACGCAGAGGATTGCGTTGTTGGATGAACTTAATTCGATGCAGA